AGTTTGAAATCTGGATTTTCTATATTGAAACTTCTCCATGAGATCATGGAGTATATACATTGTTAAGATATTTGTATACCAGTTATTAATTACTGGGAAATAATCTATGAGATCATGGAGTATATACATTGTTAAGATATTTGTATACCAGTTATTTTGCCCCAAAACAAATTGATAAAGGGTTTTTGTTGAAGAACTGTCAAAGAAATGGGTTTTATTATTACGTGCTTAAAAATTTTTTAATGCTTCTTATTATTTTAGAATACTTAGACAACCATGATTCAAAGTTGCCAGAGCAAAATGTATGTTCTTTGAATCATCTTGTAAAGTATTTACGAGAAAAGGGTCAAGAACAAGGAACTCTTAGGCTTCTCGTGACAACATGCCAAAATGACCTGTTATTGAGGAACAAAGCAGATGTAAGTTTCCACTTTGTTCCAGAATATTCATCTTTGAGTTAAAGGCTGAATGAGTGACTTGTTGTGAATTATACACCAATCTCAAGAGTGAAAATATAATGCTTTAATATTAAATTTTTTTAATATGGATAAAACAAATATAACCAAAATATTGACTGTTTGGTGGTGCAAGATGAAATAACTTTTTTTATTTTTAATTGATTTAAAAAAATGTGATTTTCAGAACCTTGTAAGATTATTTATTTTGTGAAAGGCTTATATCATTAGTATGTTTTCTTGTGGGGTGTTTCTACCATTCATTCAACAAAGTTTGTTAATTAGATGGTGTTTATTATAGGGGGACAACAAAGTCTACACCTCTGCAGTTCAACAAATGAAGCTCATTGTGCGAGACATCACCCTCAGTTTAATATCAAGGATTTGCAGCCAGAAGAGAGTGGATAGTCTCTTAAGTTTAGGGCTGATTTCTTCAGTAAACAAGAAAGAGGCTTTAGGAATTTTGAAGGTACATTTTAGTAAAACTCACAACCTTATAATTATCATGCAAACATTTGTGTACCTATGGTTTTAATTTGGCAAAATGGAAGCTGAAGTAGCATGAACACTTATGCAGTTGCCTCCTTATCTTGAGTTATCTACATTATTTTCTTTGTTTTTATGTAGAGTTCTGCATATCAGATTTTCATGAATGTTCGGCCTTGTTTTCTTATTTCTGAGGGATGATATTATCTGCAGTTGGATTATTATACAGAGCACTTAATGCGATATATCAACTCAGTAAGGAATACTGCCTTTATGTTGTTTTGGATTCCGCAAACAACGTTTTGCTGATTGGCTATGTAACACATTGATTCCTGAGCGGCTAGTTTTATTCATGTTTAAGGCTAGTCTATACTGACCTGCCAAGATTTTGCTTTAGGACCTTGGACACTAACCTGAGTAGTTGTTGGGTAACTAATACTGCTCCTCACTGATAATTTTTGTTTCAGCTTTTTTCAACAAACCACAGAGTCTTCTTATGTAAAATCTGCTTTTCCTTCTTCATTCTCTTTTTTCCCATATGCTGTCCAGTCTTTCTTAGCGAAATAATTTAAAAATACATTTTTTTACAGTACATATTTAATACCAATTTTATTGAGAGGTTTTGGGTTCTTTATGTGTAACCTCTGATCTTTATTACATCATCTACTGTAATGATACAGAAATAGTTTTATTAGAAGCTATTTTTGATACTCAGAAATCACAACATTTTGTGAATGTGAAATTTATAGTAAATATTCAATAAAAAAATAATCCTAAATAAAGAAAAGTCTTTCTAAAGCAATAATTGTTTGGCTTCAATACTTTTTGAATAAAAATTCTTAAAATGTACGACTTGATTCAATTTTTGAATTACTTTTTGTTTGTATGTTTGAACATTTTTTTACTCCTCTGTAGGATCTTGTACGTCTTTGTGGAACAGATTTCCGGAGACTTTCTGCTGTGTCGTTGGTAGGTTGGGAGTATAGTAAACTCTCTTCCTTACCAGAAGCTGTTCTGGAATTCAGTAACTTGAACACAAGATCCACTTGGGGTGCACGACTAGCCAAACTTGGAATATCTTTTAAAGTAAGTTTTGTTTTACTAACTTTTTCAGTGAAGTGTTGTCCATCTTGTATTTTCATTAATTACTATTAAAAACAGTTAAGTTGCACTTCATATGTAAAAAAATCCATAAAAAATTAACATCAATTAATTGTACACTTCATTGTACAGTATGTATGTTTAATCACAATTCATTGTACAGTATGTATGTTTAATCACAATTCATTGTACAGTTTGTATGTTTAATCACAATTCATTGTACAGTTTGTATGTTTAATCACAGTTCATTGTACAGTTTGTATGTTTAATCACAGTTCATTGTACAGTTTGTATGTTTAATCACAGTTCATTGTACAGTT